GCCCGTCGCATCATTGCCCCCGTCGCAATCACCAATGAGCGCTCGACGCGCAACATTGGGCGCGAGATGCACGGCCCTAGGGCCTGTAGGGTTCGGGAGAAGGCACGGCCCAGACGGTCGCGGGCCACGCGCGGGAGGGCGCGGGGCCTCCGCTCGGCCATGCCAGAAGCCACCGAGAGCCCCTGGAGGACAGGACTTCTCCATGCTGCTGGCCACGGGGCCGGGGTCGCTGGGGCCTCGAACGCGGCGCGGCAGGGGGCCCCGCGCGGTCGCCGGCGGCGCGGTTGGAGCGCGCCCCCGCACGTGTGTCAATATTTTCTCAGCCACGCAAAGAGACGATCGGTTCGACCCGCTGTTCGACGCCACCGCGCCGCTCGCTGCTCGGCCCGCCTCGTTCGCACGGGCTTCGCGCGCGGCGCCGGGTCGCCCCCGAAGAGCGCGGCCAAACATTCAGAAGCGCTTTTTCAGCATAGGGCCTCCTCGACTGGGCCCCGAGGGCCGATTGCTTCGGTTCGGCTTTCGCTTTTGCGCATAGGCCGGAGTGCGGCGGGGCCTTGCATTTGATCATCCGACGAAGGAGATGCGATAGATTTGGCTCACATTCGTTGGCCCTGAGGAAGCGCGCAGTTTGCTAGAGGACTGCACGAGGCGGTCCCAAACCAGCCGGATCGCGACCAATTTCCCGCGCAGTCTAGATCGCCCTTGCTGGGGCACGCGGCGCGCAGTTCTTTCCATCAAGGGCGCCAGAGCGAGAGGGGCCTCTCGCGCGGCATGGGCGGCTGGGGCATGGGTTTCCGGGAGGCCCCAGTCGATCCGTCTTCGACCCAGTCCGCGGCGTTTCGCCTGTAAGCGCGAGTAAGATAATACAGGGCATCAGCGGCTCGGGCGCGAAGCCATGCTCGAAGGAAAAGCTCGGGGGGGCCCTGCCCGAGGACGTCCAGAACAGCCGCGCCTGCCTGGTTGAGCAATACTTCTGCAGCAGTGGGCACGACGGTTTTTATGAAAGTTATGGGCTTCCGCCCTTCCCGCCTTCTCCCGAGCCAGCGGCCGAGTCTGCACCCGAGACGGGGCGGTGCGACTGGGGCGCGGGCCGGGGGCGACGGGCGCGCGCGGACGGGCCAGGCCGTGCCAATTCGATTCTAGGGTTAAGCAGGTGCGACCTGTCAGTCATGGAGCTCGACGAATCAGGCCGTTTGATCCGAGCACGGCATGGGCCGTTGTCAGGTAGATTTCTGTCAGCGCTTCGGCCCGACAATTCCGCGGCAGTCCGAGCGCCCCAGGTTGCAGCACACCGAGCGGAGGTAGATACGGATCATTTGAATATTGTCAGGACTGGCGAACGCGGGCCGCCCGAGAGTGAGTCGGCGCGCGCGAATCACGCCGACTCACGTCGCCAGATGCGCAGCATCTTCCCTCCCCCCGAGGCCCCGCCCACACTGCGCTGGGTTAGTGCTCACCGGTCTGACAGCAGCGTGCCTGACGCGCTGAAGATGCCTTCGATTTTGCCGGGAACGAGCGGGCCGACTATTTTGCCAAACTCGGGCCCCAGTGCCACCAGGCCCCCAAGGGACTGGTCGATCTTCACCATGCCGAGCTGGCCCGGCATAAAAATGAGAGCAGCGTCTTTGTTTACTTGGCGCAGGAGGTGGCGAGGAAGGCTGACTCGTTGCAGCCGCGGACGGAAACCCCTTGCTCCATGCCACCGCCCGCTGCGCCTAAGCTGACTCCCGCCTCTCACACTTTCATGTTCTGTCAGAGGATGCATGAGAACAGATGTTCAAAGTCCAGTCGGTTCGCTCGAACGGCAGAGAATCTTCCAGAAAGCTCAGGACATCTGATTGCAACCCCAGCCCCCTCCAGAGCGCGACCCTGGCCCGCTTGTTCCGCTTCGCTCCAGAGAGTCTGGTCGCCGCGACGCCGTCGGCGGCGAAGACTGCGCCGATGGCCACAGGCGCGCCCGGCGCGGAGGATGAGGGAGCACGCCGCCGCTGCCGAGTCGGAAGAGGATGGGGAGATGCTGGTCCATCGTGACCGCAAGCATCCGTCGGCGGCGAAGACCGCGCCGATGGCCACAGGCGCGCCCGACGCGGAGGATGAGGGAGCTGCTGCCGCCGCTGCCGAGTCGGAGGGGGATGGAGAGATGCTTGTCCATCGCGACCGCGAGCATGTGCAGGAGCGCTGTGGGGGCACGCTGGTGCGCATGGCCTGCGGCGCGAATTCCATCCGTCAGGGAAGGAACCCCAAGTTGATGAAAAAGTGTCGTGGTCATTCCGAAGTTGCGAGCACGCGCGCTGATGACGAGCAGGCCATATCTCGCAGAATGCGCGCGTTGCACCCACGTTATGGCAATTTCTTGCCCGCGTGATGCGCATTCACTTTGGCATCCGCGCTTGATCGTTCAAACGAGTGGGGGGAATGGGTGAGCGCGCGAACTGTTCCCGGCGGCCCCACCCCAAAGCCGTTCCACAGTTCCTGTATTCTCCAGCTGGGGCGCGCCCGTTGACTCGGCCGCGCCTTCCCTGACTCGGGGCCTCCTCCTCCTCCTCCTCCGCCTCCTCCTCCTCCTCCTCTTCTCCTCCTCTTCTCCTCCTCTTCTCCTCCTCTTCTCCTCCTCCTCCTCCTCCTCCTCCTCCTCCTCCTGCTCCTGCTCCTGCTCCCCCTCCTCCCCCTCGCGGCAGCGGCCTCGCCGCCCCGCGCGTGCGCGCGGCGCGGCGCTGGCCGCGCTGCTCCTGGCGCCAGCGGCGCGCGCGCCCCTCGGCGCCGCGGCGCTGCTCGCCGGGCCGCGCGGCGGCGGCGGGCGCTCGCGCCGGCCCGCGCGGCACGCCGGAGGAGAAACTCGCCGGGCCTGCAAGTCGGCACGAATGAAATTGGTACGGAAAGAATGGGCGCAATGCCCAACAGCAGTTCCTGTTCATTTTGAACCGGGCTCGCTGTCCGCGCCGCCGCGGCCTGTGTCCATTTGAGACAGAAGGCCGTTTGCCCAACAGCGGCCGCTGCTGGTTTGGGACAACATTTGTTGTTGGGCATTGTACCCATTCTTTCCGTACCCACTTCGGGCGCCCAAGGCAACTTTCCCGAAGCGCTTTCGGGTCGTCAGCAAAGGTGGCGACGGGAGGTTGTACAGCTCTCGGCCTCCAGGAGCCAGGGGCCCGCGCCCTCCTAGAAGCGCTCGGAGGCGACGAGAGGGGCGAAGCGCCCAGGGGGAGCAGTACATGTATCCAGGGGCGGCGATGATCCACGTTTTCGGCGAGGCTCCCGGGTGGATACATGCAACGCCCGCCCCTGGGCTACTCGCCATTCTCATTGCTGCCGATCTTGGAGGCACCCCTGCTTCACAGAGGGCGCGGGCCTCCTCACACATACAGGTAAGGCCCGCGCCTTCTGAGAGGCAGGCCCGCGCCTCCTGAAAGGTAGGGGTGCTCTTCAGCAGACTCCTCCTCCTCCTCCTCCTCCTCCTCTTCCTCCTCCTCCTCCTCCTCCTCCTCCTCCTCCTCCTCCTCCTCCTCCTCCTCCTCCTCCTTGAGGCCCTTCCCTCAACCCCCTTGGCGCGCGCCGCCAAGCCAGGTGCTCGAGCTGTAGAGGACCGGGGGCCAGTGCGGGCGGAGGCCAGCCGAGGCGCGGGATCTCGCGGGATCCTGCCGAGCCAGGGCTGCACTGACCCGGGCCAGCGCGCAGATCATCATCATCATCATCATCATCATCATCATCATCATCATCATCATCATCATCATCATCATCATCATCATCATCATCATCATCATCATCATCATCATCAGGATCCTGCAGGATCTTGCAGGATCCTGCAGGATAGCCTGATTGGCCCGTCGCTGCACTCACCAGACCCAACAGATCCCCGAGACCTCCCCTGGCCCGCGGCGGCTGCAGAGGAGATGCCGCCTGAGCGGAAACATAGCAGGTTGTTCCGCCGGCAGCTTTGTTCTGCGATTTCGACTTTGGGGGGCCGTTTTCTGCCCCGGGTGTGCCTTCCAACAGCTGCGCCTCGCCGAAGGCGTCCTGGGTCTTCAGAATCGTCCCGATCGGCCGCCGGAGGCCCGAACTATGGCCCAACAAACCAATAGATCCAACCGCCAGAAAGGAAGAAATCTCGCCAGACCTCCGCTGACGATGGAGCTGGTTCGAGGGGGGAGCGCTACATTGGGGGAGGCACGATCGTCCTTGCCTGCCCCTCCTGGAGGTGTCTCGTCGCCACAGGCAGATCAGCCTCGGAGAACGGGGCAGGATGAACCCCGGGAGTGGTCCAGGAACCGATTCTGAACGGATTCGGCCCCGGCGACTCAAAGTTTCGAGGTCCGTCCTGGCGGCCCGGCGAAGGCCCCTGGGGGCCAAAATCTGCGAAAAAACTCCGTCTTGATTTTTTTCCATACTTTGGACCTCTGGGTCCCCAGAAGTCTTGGCCCCTTGCCCAGGACTAGCTTCTCATCCTGAGTCGTCTGGTGACGGACCCGGAGAGCCCCGAGGCCCAGCGAGGGCCCCTTATACGGGCCGAGATTTGAGAAAAACCTGCGTCATGATTTCTTCAACACGTCCTGGCATCGCTCGGACGTGTGTATTTTCTTCCTCGGCGGGGACCATCGAGGACCATCCTGGACCATGGAGCCCCCCCCCCCCCCCAAAAAACACACGCACGAAAACGAAAAGTGCACGGGAAGCGGGCGTCCGAGCGATACCGAGACGTTGGACCTCCGTGCACGTGCCTTCGTCTCGCCGCTCGTGCTTGGCGCCTCGCTGCCGCGGTCTCCAGGCCGGCCGGGCGCGAGCCCTACGTTCGGGTCGGGCGAAAGCGAGGGATTGGGAAAGGGGGGGTTACGAAATTTGCTGCATGCAGCTGGTTTTGGCCTCACCAAGGGGCCCATTCCTCGATACATGGCCGCCTCCGGCGCCGGGGGGCGCCAGGAAAATCAGCTACGTGAGCTGATTCTCAAACCCCCCCTTTGCTATCCCCCCCTTTCGCCCGACCCGACAGGCCGGCCGGGCGCGAGCCCTACGTGGAGCCCGTGTTCCGGCCGCCCGCGGAGGCCGGCTCGGTCATCCTGCAGGCCCGGGGGGGCGACCAGAGGTGCCCCGCAGAGTTCGGGAGACTCTCCATGGGGGGGATCCTATGGGATCCCCCCCCCTGGAATCCTATCCCCCCATGAGTTCCCCCCCCATGAAGAGTCTCCCGAAGAGTCGGGCGAGCGGGTCCTTTGCAGCAAGGGGGTCCCAGAGATCCAAAGCACCGAAAAAGAATCAAGACGGCGGTGTTTCTCGCAGATTTGGGCCCCCAGGGGCCCTCGCCGGGCCTCTTGTCCGTGAAGAAACGACTCGGGATGAAAGGCCGGTCCTGGGGAAGGGGTCGAGACTTCCGGGGACCCCGCATTGAGAAAAGCACGGCGTCGGATCTTGGGGGCCCCAAACGCTCCAGCAACGGCCCGTGCAGTCCTTCGTGCTGCATCGTGCCGGGTGCGGGCAGAGGGCGCTGCGTTTGTGGCCTCGCCTGTGCGTGAGAGAGGCCACGCGCCGCTATGAGAGGCCCCCTTTTAATTTGAGTCGGGCCTGTCCTTCTACAGGGGAAATCTCCAAAAATAGTCAGAAAATAGTCTGGGGGCTCTTTTGTTGGGGACATTTGTTGCTCATTCTTGGGCATTTTTTGAGTACTTTTTTATTTGTTCGTCGAGAATCCCCCTGTAGGGGGACACGCCCGACTTAACCCTGCACCCGGAGTCGCGCCCCTCTCGCCCGACGCGGTGCCAGCTCTTCCCGGGGCGGCGCACATATGCCTCCGGAGTCAATCCCGACCCTCGGGGCCCAGAAGGCCCCGGGGGAGCAGCGCGGGAAGCTGCGGGCCTCCCTCCACCTCCATCTTCCATACCTTCCGACCTCTGCGGAAGGCGCGGAAGGTGATGCATTGAAACTCTTGAAAGCCTCGGCAGGCGTAGGAAAAGTCGGCGCTTCACGGAGCGCAGGAGTGTGGTGGAAGGTCAGCACGGAAGGTCTGGAAGAGTGAGGGCGAGGGTTGCCCTGAGATCTGAAGTCACGGAAAAGTTCCAACCTCGTAGGGAAAAAAACAAAAACAAAAACAAAAAACAGCAACAGCCAAAAAAACGACCAAAGCCTGGACTTAATTTTTCCGTTGTGGTGGTCGAGCGGATCGATCCCTGAAGGCCCTGGGGCCCGAAAGAAGGCTGACATCGCCCTTGAGGAAGCAGGCTGTGGCGAGGATCTCGGGGCGACAGGTGACGAACGGCTGCTCGTGGAACCGCTGCTCGTTCTGCGAGATGTACACCGCCCCGCAGAAGGCCCGGAGCAACGCGAAATAGCGAGGGGTGGGCTCAGGGCGGGGGATGCATCGACCTCCAGTCGCCCAGTGCTCGCCGAGAGGGGCCCGACGGCCCGCCCCGCCCAGGAACGCGCGGAGTCGCTGTCGGGGGCCTATCGCCGATCTATCGGCGGTGTATCGCCGATTCCAGGTCAACGCTCCGCCCCCTGAGCCCGACCCCCCCCTGGCGTTTGCCCCCACGTGAGCTCTTTGGTTTCGGCACATGACTCGGCGGCCGCTCGGGACGATCCGGGCACCCCCGAAACGCTCCCGGCAAGGCGCAGGCGCCGGAAGCTTCTAGGAACCCACGCAAGCGCCTGGAAACCTTGGCTTCGGCGCAGGGCGTATGTGGAAACTTTCCCCCTCAGAAGGCCTTCCGGGCGAAGCCCATGGAGGAGGTCGAGTCCGATCTGCGCCTGCTGCGCGCGCTGCCTCTTGGCCGCCCGCCCGGCGTACCGCCGCGGGTCTTCCTCGCGGACGGGGACGCGATGTCGTTGCCAGCCTCGCAGCTGCGCGGCATCCTGCGGCGGATCGCCGAGGCCTTCCCGGACGTCGCCCGGGTCTCGTCGTACTGCTTGCCCAGGAGTCGGGCAGTGCCAGGGAGGGCACCACTGCAGTCCCAGACGTCGGCAGGTTTTGGGCCAACTTCGGCCTCCAGGGGCCCACGCCAGGACCTGATGAAAAAAACCGGTCCTGGGGGAAGGGCCAGGACTTCCGGGGACCGCGCGTTCAAAAAAATCAGGGCGTCGCGCGTCTGGGGTTGAAAGTACGCGGATCGACCCGCGGCAAGTGCACCCGGGGAAGTTTTTGACTACCCGGGGGAAGTCGGCCCGAGGAAAGTTTACCCGGGGGCAGGTTTGCCCGCGGGCAGGTCTGCCCGGAGCGGTCTGCCCAGGGCAGGGTCCACCCAGGGAGAGCTCGCCCGCAGGAGAGCTCGGCCAGACCCAGGGCAGGCTCACCCGGGGAGGGTCTATGCTGCTTATGTCGGGCGTGTCCCCTTACAGAGGGATTATCGACGAAAAATAAAAAATACCCCAAAAATATTCCAAAAAGGTCAAAAAGTACTCAAAAAATAGTCCCCGGAATGTCTTTCGACTATTTTTTAATTTTGGGGGTATTTTTTTCGTCGAATATCCCCCTGTAGGCCGTTCCCTCGTCGTGGTGGCCCCCCGTGGCACCGCCTGGCAGGAACCTGCGCGGCAAGAGCGTCGAGGAGCTGAGGGCGCTCCGCGCCCTTGGCCTGCGCACCCTGTACGTCGGCTGCGAGTCGGGCGACGACGAGGCGCTGCGCAGAGTCAGCCCAACAACAACAACAACAACAACAACAACAACAAGAGCAAACCAACAACAATGACAACAGCAATAGCAACAACAACAACAACCACCACAACCACAACCACAACAACAACAGCAAAATAACATCAATGACAACAACGATAGCAACAACAACAACAACAACAACAACAACAACAACAACAACAACATCGCCAACAACAACAAGAAAACGAACAATTACAACAACAAGAAGCAGAACCACAACAACAACAAGAAAAACAACAACCACAACCACAGCAACAACAACAGCAACAACAACCACGACGACGACAACGACAACGACAACAACAGCATGTTTAAGGCTTCTCGCTCGTATAATTACGCGTGCGTATCAATCAACATGTGTTTCCCAAACCCTGGATACCCGCCCTCTTCGTCTTCGATCGTACCCCCGTCGGGGCATATATGTTCTTACTTGCAGTGTATATTTCGTGCAGCCCCTCAGGCAAGGGGAAGAGAGGACGGATGGAAGGAAGGGACAAGCGGGAGGCAGAAGGATGGAGTACGAGAGAGAGAGTAGCAGGAGGGGGGCTAGGAGCAGAAAACATGTGGCAGAACCAGACGGGCAGACCGGGCGGGTAGACCCAAACGGGCGGGTCGGGAAGGCGGGCCTAGACGGCCAGGTGGAGCAGGCGGGGTGCTAAAGCGTGCGTCCTGCATGAGTCGCGAGGAAGTCTCGAGCGACAGCGCGATCCCCCAAGAAACTTTAAAGAAAATTCCACTGCGAGAGCGTGATTCCTGAGGGTCGAGGGCGTGGCGCCTGAATAAACTGCTATGATGTCCCACGCGAAAGCGTGATTCCTGCATTTCCCCACCCACCAAAACACCCCAACCCAACCCGAAGGCTCAGATTTACCCTCGATTTCTAGTTGGGGGGGGTCCGGGAACATCGAAAAAACACATATGGAGCCCATACCCCCCCCAACCCGAAATTCGGGTCTTCGGGTTGGGTTGGGGTGGTCCGGTAGGTAGTCAGCATTAGATTATGGGGAAGTGCCTCGCGAGAGCGCACTTTGGGAATAAACTGTGGGGAAATATCAGGCGGGAGCCGTTGTTGTTGTTGTTGTTGAATGTTCATTACTAAACACTTATTAGTGTTGGACCCCTTAAAGGCGCCCTGGCGCTCTCGCCGAGGCGCCGGCTACATTTGCATGGAAAATGAGGCTCACGCTCGAGCGGTTTGGGGGACCGCCACAACCGGCCCCCCAACAACAACAGCGCTCCCGCTCGAGACTTCCTCCTTTTTTACTCAGGGCTGGTGTTCTTGCTCGCCGCCGAAAGCCGCCGTCCTAACAAAACCAGCGCTCCAGCTCCAGACTTCCTCGCGTTTTACCTTGGACTGGCGCGCTAGGCTTTCTCTCATCGGCGCCGCCCTCAGCAAAAACAGCGCTCCCCCTCGAGGTTCCCTCCCTTTTTACTCAAGGCGATGCTCCTCCTCGCCGCCGAAAACCGCCGCCCCGACAAAACCAGCGTTCCCGCCCGAGACTTCCTCCGTTTTACGCTGGATTGGCGCCCAACTCTCTTTTGAATTGGCGCCGCTCCCAGCAAGAACAACGCTCCCGCTCGAGGCTTCCTCCCTTTTTCCTGAAGACGGTGCTGTTCCTCGCCGCCGACAGCCCCGGTCCCGACAAAACCACGGCTCCCGCTCGATGCTTCCTCCTTTCTTACTCAAGGCGGTGTTCATCCTCGCCGTCGAAAGCCGCCGTCCCAACAAAACCAGCGTTCCCGCTCGAAACTTCCTTCCGTTTTACGCTGGACTGGCGCCCTACTCTTTTTTGAATTGGCGCCGCTCCCAGCAAGAACAACGCTCCCGTTCGAGATTTCCGTTCTTTTTCCTCGGGACGGTGGTGTTCCTCGCCGCCGACAGGCCCCGTCCCGACAAAACCACGGCTCCCGCTCGATGCTTCCTCCTTTCTTACTCAAGGCGTTGTTCCTCCTCGCCGCCGGAAGCCGCCGTCCCAGCAAAACCAGCGTTCCCGCTCGAGACTTCGTTTTGTTTTACGCTGGACTAGCGCCCTACTATCTTCAGCATTGGTGCCGCTCCCAGCAGCAACAGCAGCCCTGCTCAAGACTTCCTCCCTTTCTATTCAGGGCCGGGTCCTTGCCTCGCCGCCGACAGCCCCCATCCCCACCAACGCAATCTTGTCGTTCAATATTTCCTTGTGCTTTACCTTTTGAGGGGGTTCCGCTAGCGGTCTCGCATCGGTGCAGCAAGGCGTTGGCATTTGTTTTCGATGCGGGGTATGTTGGAATTACTCGGAGGAGGTGTTTGCAAGACCTCATTGGGCGGGAGATATGAGAATGGGAATAACGGACCCAGTTAGAGAACAAGAGTCCCCCATGATGTGGATGGTTATCATGATGGTCGCGTGCCTCGTGTGGAAACATCGCGCATGAGGGTAAAATGATTGTTGTTATTGCTGTTGTTGTTGTTGTGAACCCGGGGCCCAGGTCGCAATTTGAGCAGGAAGATTTTCTCCGGTGAAGACACAGCGAGCCTGGGGAGGGTCATTCGAAGTGGCAAAACACGCATGTTACGCGAATGCGTGAGTCCCGCATAATTCGCTAGGAAGTCTCGGGCGAGAGCGCGGTTCCTAAGTAAATTATGAGGAAGTCCTAAGTGAGAGCGCGATTCCTGAATGGCGAGGGCGTGGTGCCTGAATAAATTTCGAGGAAGTCACAGGCGAGACGGCGATTCTTATAAATTGCAGGGAAGTCCCTATCGAGAGCGCGATTCCTAAGTAAATTGCAAGTAAACATCAGGCGGGAGCCGTTGTTGTTAAACCAGGGGCCAGGTGCAAAGTTCGAGTTCGAGCAGGAAGATTTTCCCTGATAGAAATCCGGGTGCGAGCCCCGGGAGGGGCACTTCATTTGAAAAAACACATGTGTTATTGGAGGAGGGATCACTTACAGTTATTCTTCAGTGATAAGAATTCAACAAACAAGCAAACAATCAAACAATCAACCACCTAATGAACCAACCAATCAACCAACCAACACACCAACAACCAACAACCAACTACAATCAACAAGCAGCACGGAGCAACAGCAAGAGCAACAGCAATAACAAGTTTAATATACATACCTGCATATAAACATATATATATATATGATAGTATGCATATGTATATACAAACAACAAAGAAATCCTGGGTACGCGCGACAAGGACGACCTGCTCGGTACAACAACTCCACGAATACACTAAGCCGACTTGGGTACAACGCTTGGGTCACCATAAAACAGCCTTCAACACCAAAAAAGTGTGCTTGATCTGCGAGTTGGGTCCAACAAGCGGTCGAGCCGACGGCGGGACGCGTCCGTGGCTGATCACGGCGGAGGCAAGGGAGGGGCAGGACGGGAGGAGAGCACGACCGAGAACGGCCGGAGAGTGGTCAGGCCATGCAGATCTTCAAGCGGCGCAAGAGGAAGAAAACGGCTTTCAAATGCCTCCGTTTTCGCCGGCGCTGCAGGTTGACAGTCGGGGGCTCTTCGGCCAGCAAAATGCCGAAACGAGCCACACTTTGTTGTCTAGGTGCTTGCACTGGGAACTGCACGGAGGATAGCGTCAGGGGGAGTGCGCAGGGGAGAAAAAACAAAAACAAAAAAAAAAAAAAAAAAAAGTTCATGATCTCTCGGTAGCCTCGAGATGGGGGTCAATGCAAACGGGGGTCCGTCAGAGCGCTGGATCTTGCAGGATCCTGCAGAGCCAGGGGCGCACTGACCCGGATTTGCGTACAGGACCCTGCAGGATTCCTCGGGATCTTGCGGGATTTTGTTCAGCCTGATTGGCCCGGGTTTGTCGGGGGCGGCCAAGAGAAGGGCGATGACTAGGGGGTGGATATTGCGCCGTGATGTTTCCCCAGATGTCATGGCGCCTCTTCTCATTTCATTACTTCCCTGTCCCTCCCCTGGGCCGCGCACATCCCGCCAGCCATGATTTGTACCCCCCCGCTTGGACGCCCCCCTCCTGGCCGCCCCCGAGTTTGGATTGACCCGGGCCAGAAGATTCCCGAACCTCCACGATGGCGTAGCACAAGAGTGGGGGACAGTTCCGGAAGGCAAAGGTCCGGGGCAGATCCGCAAGGGTTGCAAAGGAGTCCGCTCAAAACCATACCTCACCCCGAACAAAAACAAAAAACAAAAAGCAAAACAAAAAAAGCAAGCACTAAACCATAGCACACAACGGTCATCTTGAGACGGCTGCTCGTTTCCATACGCTCGCGGGTCACTCAGCGTGTGTGTGCCAAACCCTCGACACCCGCCCTCAGACAGGGGATGGGAGGGGGGAGGGAAGAGACAAGGGGGAGGGAGAAGGAGGGAGCACGAGAGAGATTAGCAGGAGGGGCGTTAGGAGCAGGAGCACAAGCAGCAGAACCAGACGGGCGGGCAGACCCCAACGGGCGGGTCGGGTGGGCGGGCCTGGACGGCCGGGTCCAGCGGGCGGGTCGCCGAGGCGTCAGTCCAACATGAATCGCGAGGAGGTTTTGAGTGATGGCCCGATTCCCAGGTAAAGCATGAGGAAGTCCAGAGCGAGAGCGTCATTTCTGAGTGCCGAAGGGCCTGCGTTTCCAGAAATCCCGCGGAAGTCTCCCGCGCGAGAGCGGGATTCCTGTTAGAAGTTGTGAGGGCCCGCGCGAGAGCGCGATGTTGAATGATTTGGTGGGGGGGTGGCGTGTCAGTCTGGAGCGGTTGCTGTTGTAGGTCGAGGGCCAGGGGGCCAGGCTGAGCCTTACGATTTTTCCAGGCGTAAGGAGCAAGGTGCGAGCCCTGGGAGGGGCATTTCGGTTGAAAAAAGACGCAGCAGGATTCCAAGTGGCGTGCAGGATTCCAAGTGGCGTTCGACCATGCAGCATTTTGTCTTGCACAGATATGCAGACTGCGTCGAGTACCTCAGGAATGGTTTCGCAACTCGTGGCGCGCTGATATATATATATATATATATATATATATATATATACATATACATATATATACATATATTAGAAGAGAAAGAGAGAGGGGGGGGGGAAAACAAACAAAAAAAAAACCAAAAACAAAAAAAAAAAAAAAAAAAAAAAAACTGGGCACCATAATTCAACGAAGCACGAGTGCAGAAAACCGATCCGGGGACGCTCGGTGAGGTGCTGCGCAGAGTCGGCAAGGGCGAGACGCGCGCCTCGCAGCTGGAGGCGCTGGGCAAGATCAGGGAGGCTGGGCTCAAGGCGTCCGTCACTTAGTTGCCCCGATACAGCGGCATCGAAACGCAGAACGTACTCCAGATTTCGTAATAAAGGGAGGAGGGTCTCATTTCGGGGGGGGGGTCTCTTCCAGGCTATCTTGGAGGGCCTGGGGGGTCTGGGGACGATGTTTTGGAGGGTTCTCCCACGGGGGAGGTCTGAAATGGCTTTTCTTGGAGGGTCCAGACCCCCTCCCTTTTATTACGAAATCTGGAGTACCGTGTTCAAAACGTCCGAATTGATACGTTGCGTATTGGCTCAGCGTGTTGGCCCACGTTTTCGCGAACGTATCGCGCCAAACGTACGTAACCAATCTGCGTGTTGAGCTCCGTGCGAGCACGCTGCGGGTTGCGTGTTGCGCATTGGGGTAGCTAAGGTCCGTCATGATCCTCCACGGCCTCGGCGGGGAGCAGCTGTCGCTCCAGCACGCGGAGGGCTCCGCCGCGATGCTGAACGCAGCGCAGCCCGAGCTGTTGTCGACGCTGGTCGTCTCCTTCCCGCTCGGCCGCGAACGCCACGCCGCGTGTTTTGAGGACCTGCCCGGCGGCGGGTTCCAGGAGCTCGCCACGGAGGAAAACTCGGGGGCGGCCACGAGGGGGATTATGATTATTCCCGGATAGCTCGTAGCGAGCTAAGAGGGCTTCAGATTAAGAAGTCAGAGCCGCAGGGTAGCCCCAGAGCTCGTTCCGGTGCCCGTTTTCCAACGCCGTTGCGGTTTGCATGAGGTTGCAGCGTGTCCCGAGAAGCCTTTCTGAGCGTTTCCCGATACGTGTGCCCGGAAGCTCTCCAGAAGGTCTATCAGAAGCTCTCTCCAGAAGCTCCCAAAGCTCTTCGGCAGGCCTTCGCACGCCCTTCCGGCGCCCTGCTCTCTGGCTTTTGGGACACCACAAGTGGGAGGTGAGATCATGGCAGGAGCCATGATGTCTCTCAGGAGGGAAAACAACACGGACAATTAATCGTCGGTTACCCAGAAAGTATGGGAAAACATGGGAAGCGGGGGGGAAGACAAAAACCCAGAAGATATGGGAAACTGTGGGGAATCCTGTCATTTGCGTGTATTTGTTTGTGTGTCCCAGGGCCCCTTCAGTCTCCCAGATCTCCTGGCCCCCTCTTCTTTCGAGACGCCTCCTGGCGCTGGCCCCCCCTCTCGGCCGCGCACACGCCTCGGGCCGTGGTTGTGCGAGCTCCTCGCTTGGAGGAGGAGGGGGAGGAGGAGGAGGAGGAGGAGGAGGAGGAGGAGGAGGAGGAGGAGGAGGAGGAGGAGGAGGAGGAGGAGGAGGAGGAGGAGAGGAGGAGGAGGAGGAGGAGGAGGAGGAGGAGGCCCCCCTCCCTTGGAGGCGCGCCCTCGAGGCGCGCGCCCCGCGGCTTCTCTCCGCCACTGGCCCCATGGGGCTGTCGGGGAGCCGCCCGGGAGGCCCCTCCTCTCCCTCCTCCTCGTCCTCCTCCTCCTCCCCTCCCTCCTCCTCCTCGTCTCTCCTCCTCACTCTCTCCCCCCTCCTCCTTTTTCCTCCTCCTCCTCCCTCCTCCTCCTCCTCCTCCTCCTCCTCCTACTCTCTCCTACTCCTCCTCCTCCCTCTCCTCCTCCTCCTCCTTCCTCCTCCTCCTCCTCCTCCTCCTCCCCTCGTCTCTCCTCCTCATTCTCTCCCCCCTCCTCCCTTTTTCCTCCTCCTCCTCCTCCTCTCCTCCTCCTCCTCCTCCTCCTCCTCCTCCTCCTCCTCCTCCTCATCCTCCTCCTCCTCCTCCTCCTCCTCCTCCTCCTCCTCCTCCGCTTCCATTATTTTCCCTTTCAAATAATTTCTCCCTGTCGCACCCCGAGGCCAGTTTTTAGGGCGGGCCGGGCCTTTCTTACCACTTATGACCCTGCATCTTAAAAATGAAAACAGTTTCAAAGATGGTGAGCGGGTCATTTTCCAAAGTTGGTTCTCGCCTTAGCGCCGCGCACATTCATATGTGTATATATACACACACAAAAGTGTCACAGATGGAGGGCGGTTGGTTTTCAAAGTGTAGGTCTCGCCTTGGCGCCGCGAACATCCGTTTTGAAGGTTTGCCAGAATTTCACCGACTGTGAGGGCGGGTGGTTTTCAAAATGTGGCTCTCGCCTCAGCGCCGCGCACACTCGTTCTTAAAAACTGATCAGCTTCACATATTGAAGGCGGGTGATGTTCGAAGTGTGGTTCTCGCCCTAGCGCCGCGCATATGTTCCGGAAAATTGCAAGAGCGTCACGGATTGAGGGCGGGTGGTTTTCAAAGTGTGGTTCTCGTTCTAGCGCCGCGCACATCTGTTTGTTTTGAAAATTGCAAGCTCTTCACAGATGGAGGGCGGATCGTTTTCAAAATGTGGCTCTCCCCATTAGCGCCGCGAACATTCGTTTTCAAAAATTGCAATAATTTCACGGATTGAGGGCGGCTCCTGTCCAAAATGTGGTTCTCGCCGTAGCGCCGCGCATATTCGTTACGTTTAACATTTGCAAGAGTTTCAGGGATCCCATGGTCAACGTATCAGAAATT